ATATTCTATTGATTTCAGTGCTCCATTTCAGGATATAAAAAGCATTAACTGAAGGAAAGAATGGTTAAACTGCAACCAGTGATTTCATCCTTTAAGGGCACTAATACGCAGTATCTCAAGAGATATGAATACAACATTAGTTGCATAAAGCCATCTAGCCATGAAGGGAAGAAAAAGCTTTGTTACATCACTCTGCTGTTGCCAATAAAATGAAAATATATGATGTAACAGTGAGACCTAACATATATCACAACCCCGCTACAGATTAAAATCATCTCTCTGCTGATTCGTCCATCAAAAAGAAGGTGAGACAAATTCAGAAGTGAAATGAGGAGGATAATACAGGTTAAACCGAAGGCTGAGAGCAAGCACACAGCAATCAGTGTTTAACAGTGCTTCCACTTGGACTTAAGGCATCACTTCATTAACACAATTAAAAATATTTACCTTGTTATTGTGAAGTACAATGCATTTTAGGCAGGGCACTCTATGTGGTCAAGGTGATGCTCTCACGTTAAGAAAACATTTGTAACTTCTATCCTTCAGATATATGCCATACATAAATCTGCCCAGAAAGATGCATTCAGCTGCCTGGAACCCATCTGAACAATTATTGATGTGCAATTTGGATTCCCCGACACCACAAGAGTGTTCTTGAAAGTATCACCTCCAAGCTATACCCAAAACTATCACTGCCTCAACTTCTCGGCTGCTCTAGTCAGTGGGGGAAAAAGCAATCTCTGTGGAAGAATATGAGCAAATTAGAAAGGGATAGTTACAGGTGTCTTTTCAGATTCCTTCACTTTAAGATCAGTTTTAAAAGATTTGAATACATGAAATACTAGGGAAAACCATAATAATTATAAAAAGGAAAGACTGCTTTGATACTCAATTAGGAAAAGAAAAATAAAAGTATTTAACAGAGTACAAAAGATGACTATATCTGCAGAAAATCCTTTCAGGAGCTACTTTTTGTGGTGACAGCAACAGCCCAGGCTCAGCAAATGCGCAAGCCTCAGATTTACATGGAGAACTTCTGCATCTATCTGATAGCCCAGGGACAGCATTCACCACATGACGTTAGAGAGGAAACTTTGGGAGAGCAGTCCTGTCAACTTCTTAAGACTCAAAGCCTTAACTAGTTGCATGACCATATCTCAGTGGAAGTATTCATTTTTGATGTTCTCCAAAAGGGAACCAGCAAAAAAAAGAAAAAACAACAACAAAAAAACCCCATAAACTAGACAACACAGAGTGAATCAGTAAGCTCTGAATCACGTAAACTATTTTAAGTATATAGTTTTAAAGAAAATTACAAAATTAAAATAGTAACTGCAATTTAGGAAATGTCCTAGCATACTTGCACCGAAGTCCCTAGACCCATGCAAAGAGAGGATGAGTTGTTTACTCTGACTTACTTTCAAAAATGCATAAACGATTTCCCAAGGTACTGAATAAATGAACATACCTTTTTCCACTTTTTAAACAAACATTGTGATTTTCTTGTACCTTAGAAATTCTTTTCCCCTAGAACCATTAGTTGTTATGAAACCTCTGTAAAATGAAACATATTAAAAGGTACTTGTGTGATAACTGATTATATCCTCCAGTTACAGCCACCTCCAGCCTTCCTCACCACCATTCCACTCCTCATTGCAGAAAAGTAAGAGCCAGTACTGACTTCTGTAAATTAAGATTCTATTGTGTGATAGAATCTATCTGTTCTATTCTAGTGTGATTCTATCGCACAAGGCAGCGCTTCAATACAAGCACAACTTTTTTGACATCAGAGGAGCTATACAAGGCTAAAGCTGGTGCAAAGGAGTGGCATTGCTACTTTTACCAACTATGATGACTGCTGTGACAGAGAGTTCACAAGAAGTTAAGAACTAAAGGGTTGTTGCAGACAAGTCCCTGGTTAGAAGTGGGCAAGGTCAGAGCCATGGAAATCCAGCACTGAAGAAGCAGTTATTTAACGTAACCCATCCAAATGCTTCCTTTTAACTTCTGCATTCTCTTGTCTTTATTGTCATTCATCATAGAAGAAAATGAAAACCATAAGAGATACTATAGGAGACTCAGAGATGCTAGATCCACACCTGAGTCAGCCCTCATTTTAGCACAATTAAATAGAACAAACCCTACTATGGCACACAGACATCTTTCTGCACATCCTAGCACAGAATAAACCAGAATGTGTTTATTAAAAGCTTAATGGCACATCTAATTTAATAGCCACAAGTTCTTTCTGGCCATACGTTTGTTGATTTTACACTTGCTGAAGGTAATGAAGATTTTCCCTGACTGTAAGGGGATCAATTAAGTCTAACATTTTTAAAACAAATTTTTCAAGTTTCTTTTTAAATAGATCACCTAATAAACTTGCAAAGCAAGCAATGAAATACGCACGAGTAGATTGTTCTTTAGCTACTTCATCCAAAGCTGACCTGATGAGTGACTCTATTTGCCTAAATAACCTAGAAGGCTTTTTTCTTCCTCTTTGATTATCCAAAAGCTTACAAGGAGACCCCAAAAACATAAAGCATATATCCCTATATAAAAAATTGTAAACACTAGGCATCACTTAAGAGGACATAGTAAGATAAAGAGGTCACATGGGCTAAAACGGTGGTAGGAGGTTTTTTCAGCAAGGTGTGAACTGGGTATTACCTTCATTTTTCATAGCTTTAACATTTTAACATTAAAATAAGAGTACTAACAGTTTCCACAGTTAAGAGAAAAAAGGGACTCAGAAACGCTCAACAGTGCCACTCAGTTATGCATCCACAGTTAAAATACCTACACACATAATGCAGACCTGATTTCAGCTAGAAACCTTGACAAATGCTTTCCATTGCAGTTAAGACAGTTTCCAATATGCAGATAAACAAAAGATGGTGAAAATATAAAAATAAAACCTGCTAATTTCTTCAAAAAGTAAAAACATTATCCATATTTTGTTAAAAATCTAATCACCCATCCATAAAAATACACCAGTATAAAATAATAGGATTTTCAGAGTCCTGTCTGTCACCCTTTTATAGCCATATTTTATATGGGCATGGGCAGATGACATGGATGAATCAGATTCAAATGAGATAAGCAGCATTACGCTTATACGGCCATGCAATGTGGACACCAGCACCGCTCTAACCTTTCCTTTTCTTTGCAATGGCTGGATAGAATCAATTGAACGCATTCTTGTTTGTGTAAGAGCAGTGGTGGGTCTACTTGCCCAGCTTTACTTACTTCAAGAATTAATTAATTTTCCCAAACAATACCTCAAATTCTTCTGCAATCCTTCAACGAAAGTTCATTGCACATTATTTTTTGTACTTTTATCACTCTTTATGTTCACTAAGTATCAGTGTTTTCTCCCAGTTGGCCATCGTCCAAGTTTATTTGCCCAAGTTTTACCCAGTTATACACTGCACATTTTTTTGATCTTCTACAGCATGTCTGTCTTCATGCCATTCCTGAGGCCAGGAAAGGTTTTCTAGGAAACACTGCCTCCTTTCCAAAAGGCTATGGTTATTCCAGACTCTGAGACTTTCACATTGGTGACCTCTTTGCCCACCTCTGCAGCTATTTTGGCACATGAAGGTTTCATCTCTAATTTTGAAACTTCAAATATAGTTGCATTAGCCCTACCAGCAGCCCAATCAATCCGTGTTCTTCCTACAAATGTAGAAACAAGCTTTGTCAGGACGCAGCTGGCTCTGCAGACCTACTCTCACATCTGAGACAGAATAAACTTTTCCATCTGGGATGATTTGCACATATGGTTGTACAGTCTGAGTTCGAAACTCAATAATCACAGTTGCCCAGTTCTGTCCCTTGCAAATTGCTCGCTCCTGCACATGAGAAGGAGCTAACAGGTAACAGAGAAGCCCCTTGGCTCTTCCATGATACAACATCTGTAAACATCATACAGAAGGCATTCAGCCACTCCCATGCAACGTTTAAACGCGCTTTTATAAACCTGGCATAATGATCCTTGGGAATGTTTTCCCTTTTTTCTTCTTTTTCTTGTTTGTTTTGGGGGGTTTGGGGTTTTTTGGGGGGTTTGTTTGTTTTTTTTAAATAGGTGAATTGCAGAAGATGGGGCCTCTGGGAAATAGAATAAAAGTCGAATTGGAGCATCTTCCAGCACTAAATAATTGTCACCATGCCTGCTAATGATAACTTGTACACTCATGTCAAAGAAACAGACATTTTGCTTTGCTTGAACATCTGTCTTTACTTTTTTTTTTTCCTATCTTGTAGTGAGACTGTCAAGAAAGAATTCTGGGATTGTACACAGGAAAATAAAAAGGACTATGAACCTAAGGCAGAGATCATCTGTTGCTTGTGCTAATAACTGCTTAGAAAGTACACATTTTAAAACTCCTTTTTGTTCTGTCACAGAACCATAGGGTGGTTATCTTTAATAGCTATTACTCAGACAGATATATAAAGAATATTTTATTTCTCTAGCAGTCGTTATCCTATCAAAGGGATAATCCTTAAATGTTCTGTGTCATTCACTTTAATTTTTTAAGGCTGACAACATTTTGAGTAAAGTGCTCCGCCGTTCATGGGAGGTGTAAGCCCGTAGCTGGGGGATATTTTTTGCTTTATTTAAACTGCTTGCAGCATTAAAAACCAACTGGTGAAGAGGTGGACGTACAGGGCCAGGCTTTGTGAATCAGTGTAGCTATATTGACGTGACAGTTTTACACCAGCTGAGCACCTGGTCCTTACGGTTATGAACGACAAGAGAGAGCTGGCTTTTCGTGCCCTTGGTGGCAAGAGATGTTTAAAGAGTAACAGCTGTTCCACTTTCCCTTGGCTGATTTGGACTTGTGATTTTTTATGGATCTGCACAATATGCCTACCCAAACACTATAAATATTTGCAAATAGCCTGCCACCCAACAATTTTGCCCTAATTTATGTTCAATTTTTGACTGCATAAATACATCCGCTTTCATTAACTAGCATACAGGAAGCAGTACTTACCTGTGATCTAAATGATGAATAGAGAGAATAACCCCTGAATTCAAATGGGCTTGTTTTAAGGTCGCCAGGATTGTGAATTCATATTTATTTCTTAACTTCTGAAAAAAAATTTCAGCTGTTTCTGGAGATGCTTTGACACTTCTTGAAGTATCTAAAAAAAAAGGAAACAGAAAAAACACTCAGCATAAGAACTTATTTTACTTTACATCCTCAACTCAAAGAGCTTACAAAATAACAAGCTACTCCTGAGTAGCATAAACAAACAGACAGGCAAAAGCAGGGACCAAAGTATTTTATTAAACATCTGCTTTTACATGCAACAGGAGTCATTTCAATGAAAGAGAACACATTTTCTAGGACATCCACTCTATTCGGGGGAGGGGGGAAGTGTTGTTTTGGTTTTAAGACAGGGTCATAACTCCTTTACCTTCTCCATGGATGGCCAGATGGTACCTTTAATATCTCATCCTAAATATGGACCCAGTAGCAGCAAAGCACAGAGTGACAACACTGGACATGAGCCTGAGCTGTGAAGCGCAACCTGAGCAACTTTTTAATGACTTCTACAAAAATGTTATGCTTAATAGCTACACACAATTAATTTTTTTTTTTTTTTTTAAAGAGCAGCATCTCTTTAGGGACAATTTACTCAAGTTTAAGTAATAGTTATAAATTAACTTAAAAACTCAGCATCTTTCAAAATATATTGTCTCTAACTAATCACTATATACTCCAGTTGTGCAACATGTTGCTGCTGCTTCTTGCACAAGACATCATGAACATTTGCTGGAGTAATTGCACACACTCAATAAAGGTTTTGCTTTTGAAAAACCCCACACAACCAAGACTGAAGCAATGTTTCTGCTGAATTTGCATGGAACATGCATAGAAAATAAAAAGGCCCAACCTTAAGCCCTCTAGAGAGATAATTTACAAAATAAGATGTCAAATGCTAGAAAAACAATTCCCAAGGTTTTCCATAATACGTTACACTAGAAAAAAATTAATATATATTTTTAATGCACAAAATCAATTCATTAGCGTGTGTAATCAACTGCGTAAGAATTAAATCAATTCACAAGCTTCTTGTCATTGCAATTTGACCATCCAGCTCCAGCTCAGGGACACTAATTCAGGGAAGCAACAGCAGCAGAGAGCTAACTGCAACAGAAACTGTGTTTTTCTTTTGGCAGTGCCGGAGCTGAGATCTCAAGTAAGCTTACACTGCTGTTCTGCTGTAAAACAGGTTTATACTTTAAGCTGTATCTATGAAGATGCTACTCTGTATTAACAGCAGTTTACTGTGGTTTATGGACCAGGAATATTTTTTTAATATGTGTTTAAGAAATGCAACAACCTGTACAACCCTGCAATCCTAACAAAGCTCCTGCACAGTGTCACACCAGGTTGAATTTGATTCATTTTTTACAAAGGGGAATCCAAAAGACAAAAAAAAAAAAGGGGGGGTGGGAGAGGGAGAAAGAAAAGATCACGTAAAGCTTTTTTTTGGTGAAAGTTCACGTCTTTTCTACTGTGGATTGCGTAACTCCCTCACTGTAGCAGAATTCCATGGTATTTTAATGGAATTGTTAATAAATCATAAGGCAACTCAAATACAATTACATCAAAGCGTTCATTTTTAGCCAAGGGACAATAACAGAGTGGAATGACATAAGTTTGCATGCTGGAAGATAGTTTAACTGCATTAACAATTTCTAGCAATATAAACAATCTACTCCCAAGAGACAGAGCAGAGGAAGGACACACAAGGAACATATTCTCTAATCACGATCACAGGATCTTCACGCACTGCAACTCTCAGCAGCAGCTTTCCTACCAAGATAGAGAAGAACACAGGAAAATACAGATGTGGAACTCACTTAAAAGCCTATAGAGTCTGATTCCTAGATGCAAAGCACATCCTCCAGCCCTGTGTGCCATGGCGGGGAGATGGGTTTCTCAGCTTAGAAAGCCCAACCAACATCCTCTTCTATCGCAGGTTCATTATCATTTGTACATCTACAGTCTGCTTTTGGGCCCACAAACACATTACATGTTTACACTGAAATGAGACCAATGTCATTTTGCCTAATGACAGAAGATCTGACGAAGCATAATCAAACTATGTTTGCATGCTTGTGCACGTAGTCAAGAGTGTCTGCCCTGAGGGGCAGAGCTCCCCTGCCTGAAGGGCTTGCAGCCTCAGAAGCCTCAGTCAGGATGAGCAGTGCAACTTTAAATAAAAGTGAGAAAACAAAACCCAGAGCAAGCTGAGACCACTGGAATGTGGGAAGTCATCTTGCTTACGTATTAATAATTGTTACTACTTTGTAACAACACTCTTGTCCCCCAACAACCTTTTATACTTCTTTTAAACTTTCTGGGTAGAGATATTTCTCTTTTACTTCAGTAGATGATGAGATTATAGAAACCAAGCCTATAGAGTATATACCATGAACACCCTATGCTTTTTCAGCCACGTTAATTCAGGCAGATTCCTCCTCACCTGAAACATTGCAAGAGTTGCTAGGAGAAAAGGGGAGGGTGGAGAAAAAGGGCTATGAAGATGATTGCCACATCATAATTGCTCACCTCCCTGCAATTTATACAGGGCTGATAAAGCACACATCCATGCGAACATGCTAGTGAAGAAACTGCGTAGGTCCTTCATCCAACAGCTTCTGTGTCTGGACACTTCAGTCTCACTCTGACTTAGAGAGTGAGCACACAGGAATCTATAGAGGCATTGAGGCACTGAATAGATACTATCAATTTCCACAGACGTACATTGGAGTTGGACACACAATATTTATGGTTTAATATGGCAGTAGGAAAAGACAGGAGGTATACATATCAAATGTGAATTTGATGCAAAGACAGAGATAGGAAGAAGATTGGATGGAAAAAAAGTCAAGCAAGACAAAAAAGAGGAAGTCAGGTCAGAATTGTGGGAAACAGCAGAACTGCAGAAAATTCCCTAGGTGTTCTTGTTCGTTCCCATTGTCTCCAATGGATTTCTTCCAGGTTTCCCTCAAGACAATTAAATGGTAGTAAGAAGGAAGATGAGAAATGCAGAACAACTACCTTTTTCCAAAGATTCCAGATTATCCCTGTGCAGCTCCGAACCCTGGAAGATACTAGAGTGCCTCTCTGTCCCGGTTACCCTCTGGTTTATCCCTCTACATCATTCCTATTTTTAACTACTATCACACCCTACCAGTGGAAACCATAAATGCTCTGTGCTGGAGATGGAAAACAGTCCGTGGAGAATATGCTTACCTAACAAAAATAAAATCCACAACTTTTCAATTAGAAAGAAATATTAATTTCCACCAAATTCCTATGATATTCTCATTAGCAACTGATGAAAGAAAGTATATGCATAACACCCCTACCATTATACAAGGCCAGTTCCAATTCACATAAATAATTACCTCCTCCTCCTCCTCCATGCACTTTTATTCTAATTGAAGCTATTGGGATGCAAACACCGTGCTACAGATGGCCTGCGCTTTAGCAATGAAACAAACCCTCACCATCACTGGAGCTCTCCAGAGCCCTCCCAGTCCTCATTGCTGCACTGAAAGAGGAGGGGGAAACACAGAGCTGGCTCTATGTCTGCAAGAGAGGAATCTTTTTTAATGTCTATTCATGTCACCCCTGTGAATCATTACCCGATCACTAGGTTGAACGAGAGTTTTCCATCCTTTTATCTATAAAGCCATATCTGGGTACCCTATAATCATTCATCACGACCTTACACTACCTTCTTGTATACAGATGAAAGTATCAACACCCGATTAGATCATGCTGAAAGCCTATATATTATTGCCACATTAACTGCTAGAGTATTAAATTGCCAAAACACACGGCCACTCGCTTTTGGTATTGCAAATAGGTCAGTTCATATTTGCTGTATCGAAGAGCTACACAGCCTTTTGAATTATTACTACTCTGATGAAGCACCCTTTGCTCAGGGCAGGCACCAGCTGGATTTCTTAAAGACCACTTGAAGGTCCTTGATCCATTAGATCCATTCTTTTTACACTAACACAACAGTGCAAATCCCTCATTCCAACTGCCTTTGAGCACTAGAGGTAGGTGCTTGATAGATCACCAGCTGTGCTCAATAAATACTGATTCAGGCTTGTTCTTGACATTTGGCTTCTAGTAATCATTTTAAGACCTGAGGAAAATACTTTACTGGAACTGGACTTCTTCCATAATAGCTTGGAAAATCAAACTGGTATATCTCAGATAATAATTTGTGGTTTCTCAACAGTTATATAAAAACTTCATACTGTGAACATTTCTAATACACAAAACCAAAGGCATAAATCTTTTGTTATTAGAGTGCAAAAATAAGGAGAGAACTATTAGTTTGAATGAGAAATTTGTCTCTAGCCATAATACCTACATATTGGGTTTACTTTCCTAGAACATTGCACGTGTTTGGTATGACCACACCATAACAACTCACAAACCCATAGTGTCAACACTCCATCTTTAATTTATAGAAGAATGAAGTGCAAAGTGACAATGAAAGGAACAAAAATCCAAACTCAAGGCATGTTGCACTCCTTGTTCAAGTTAAAGGTTATAGCACGGAAATGCCTTTACAAGGAATAATAACGCTCATGTGCTAACACATGCAGCTGGTTTGAGACATGCAAGTTAGTAAAAGTACTGAAAACAACACAGCAGACTGGGGGAAGGAGGCTGGCAGAAGGGAGAATTAACTCATACCATAGCTGGCAATGATAATGATTTACAAAGACACAGACACACAGTAAGTGGTGGTCAACCTTCAGCTGCAACATCTAGTTATGAGGTGATCAGCTGGCCACAGATGCAGAAAACCAAGTCTTTTAAGATCTAACATTGCAAAGCAAGCTGACAACCCAGTGAAGAAAACCACTGACCATAAGACCTGCAGGAACTCAACCCTTCAGAGGGCAAACTTAGTGGCTGCCTCTGCAGCTTGCAACAACCATCACAACTGAGACTCATTTTCCCTCTCAGAGACAATCTGCAGTCAGAGCTTTGCAGCAAACACCAAAGCCACACAAGTGTCTCCTGGAGGTGTCAAGTGTAGACATTGATATTTCAGTCATGCTCATGAGATGACAGTTACTACACTATAACCAAGATAGTAAGTCTAACTTTTAACAGTACTCA